ATACCTTCAATCTTTAAACAATATTCAACCCTTAATATCATTCATAGCCTTAGACTTGACATTATACAAACAAACAAAAAAACTCTAAAGCCTATATTTAACATTATCTTATACAAACTGTAGTTTTGTTTGTAACTGTGAGTCTTATAGATGACAAGATTAGAGATTAATCTCAATAACAACCTATACAATATAATTAAGTATCATATATTTTTTTAGATATTTTAAAAATGATCGATTATTTTCTGATGCATTGATAAAAAGAAAAATAAATAAATAATATATAATTTAAGTTTGTATTTCTGAGGAGTTGAACAGTGTTATAGTAAGTGACTTGACTGATGCAGCCATGGATATCTATCGAGATTACAAACAAAATGCAGGTTGTCATACCTTCAGAAGTAGAAAACAAAAGAGATGAATGTGCTTAGAATGGTAGAAAATTAAATAGTTGCAATAAATTAATATTAAAAACAATACATGTTTAACTATATATATATATATATATATATATATATATATATATATATATATATATATATATATATATATATATATATATATATATATATATATATATATATATATATATATATATATATATATATATATATATATATATATATATATATATATATATATATATATATATATATATATATATATATATATATATATATATATATATATATATATATATATATATATATATATATATATATATATATATATATATATATATATATATATATATATATATATATATATATATATATATATATATATATATATATATATATATATATATATATATATATATATATATATATATATATATATATATATATATATATATATATATATATATATATATATATATATATAATTATCTTAGTTTGATAATTGGTAAAATATATAGTGATATACAATGGTTTGTAACAATTCCAACTTTCTGCAAAATCTTTTTTATGTTTATACTAAAGGTAATCACAAACACAGATTGGCCGTATACACAATTTACACAATTCAAAGATTCAATAATAATGAAAAGAAAGACAAAATTGCATGTGAGAGAGAATTTAGTAGAAATTAACAATTCCTGTGAGAGAGAGAAAAATAACTTGCAAGTGAAAGAGACATAATTGTTTAAGAAGATAAAGATAAGGATGATAAAAAATTATAGATGTTTTAAATTGAGAATGAAACAGTTATCGTTTACTATATTTATTTTGTATATGTGATTGGTTTTAAAATAACAGTTAAAGATTAAATATGTAACAAATATAGGTCAGTCCAAAATACTATATCGTCTTTATCTATATGTATAGATTAATGTTTACATCACATTGTAGAAATTACATAATTTAAAAATTGAGATATTTTTTATATTTTTAAAATTTTCTAAACTACATAGGTAAAATTGAAACAATAATAGATGAAGATTCGAGAGAGAAAACCAAATTTAAAAAAATTAATAAAAATAATCATTCTTATTTGATCATAGAAATCAGGGCGCATCTTTTTTTTTCTTTCCTAAGGGATAATGATTCATTTTTCTTCTACAATAGAGAGAAAAATTAAGTATTAGACATTAAAAAAATAATCTCAATTTTCAAACCCCAATTTTACATATGGATTTGTTTTTGTAAAAAGAACAAAACAGTAAATGAAAATTAAAAAAAAAATCAAATCAAAAAATTAGATTGAAAAATCTAAATACCCCAATAATCAACTGTAACAGAAATCATTGTGTGATTCGCAATCCATATTATGTCATCAGCAAATTGTAGATTTCTCTTTTCTACCATCATCATGAACATTGTCTGAATTTCAATTTTCTCAGGTAGTCTCCCTTCTTCTCTATTTTTTATTTCTATGAACTTAATGAGTTAGAAATGAAAGACATAAATTATAAGGAGAAGTTGTTTAAATATAACTTTTAATTGAAAGTTAAAGTGAGTTTTCTTTTCAAATACCTAATTACCTTTAATTATGTACAATATTCAAATATAAAATGGAGGAAGTAGTTAATTTTTATTTGTATAACATCTAAGTAGTTTTGAAGGGTAAAAGAGGAAAGAAAATAGACTACACAAAAAATATTTTACTTTTATATATTGTTATAGATTAAACATATATTTCTATTAGACTTTATTTGAGAGTTTAAAAGGAAGAGAAATGAAAGACTTTAGAAAAATAAAAAGAAGAATTTAGGTATAGAAAATTTTGAGAAATTTACTTTTATTTATAAACAAACATTCCCCTAATTAAAATGAACTGAAAATTTGTTTTGAAAAAAGTGTTTGAAAGTTTTATAAAGTTTAGAAAAATTATTAATCTATGTTATTATAATATTTTTAAAATTAAAAATAACTTAATAAAGATTCTTTTTTATTTTATACAAAATCATTTTTTAGCTTTAAAAAAGGATTTTAGTTTTTTTTTTTTTAATTCTTAAAATTCCCTCTTCCCTCTTCATTTCAAACTCTCGAACAAACAAAATTTTAAGAGTCTGTTTGGTTCAATCGAGGAGAAGGAAGGGGAGAGATTTTTATCAAGGAAAGGGGAGGGGAGGAGAAGGGAGGGATTGTAATTACATATATGTTTGGTTCAAAATATGAAAGGGGAGGGGGAGACATTTTATTTACAAATATGTTTGGTTCACAAAGGGAGAGGAGATATTTTAAAACTAATATCCTTATACTTTTACCATAAAACTTGTAATATTTATCGTTTATAATTCATATACAAATTTATTGACAATATAAATATTCAATCAAAGATTATCATAAAATATTTTATAAAAATGTAACAATTATAATATATAATTGGGTAATTTACAGTTTTTGCCCCCTACTATTATAAACAAAAATATTATGATAGTTAAAAATTAAAATTAAAATATAAAAAATAAAATATAAAAAATTTAAAGAGATATAATGATAGTAATATGAAGATATAAAAATACAAAAAAAGATTAAAAAAAAGATTAAATTTATTCAAAATAAAACTTTTAACATTGTTATAAGTTAAATTTATATTTAAAGTTTAATAAGAGTAAATATATAAATATAATCATAATTAAAATCAAACATCTCCCCTCCTCTCCAAATCCTTCCAAATCGAGAGAAGCAAAAAGTGGCTCAGGAGTAGGGCTGGATATGAGTCGAGTCGAGTCGAACTCACCTCAGCTCAGCTCGACTCATTAAAATTGGTTCGAGTTCGAGTTCAAGTTCAACACGAACTATTTTTTAAGCTCAAACTCAACTCGTTATAAGTTCACGAACAGTTCGGTTCGACTCGTTAGGTTCATCTCATTAGATTCAGCTCACATGATTCACGGACTTAAAAACTATTTTTTTAAAAATATATATTTTTTAGTATATTTGACATTTTAAATAAATATATTTTTTAAAAATAAAATATTAAAATAAAATAAAAGTTATCATATTGAAATTTAACTTTATCATTGAAATCTACTAATTCAAAAACTACTAAATTGAAGATTAAATTTGTCTAAGATTTAGAGTAAATATTTAAACCTAATCGTAAAGACAGTATAATTCTTCTCAAATGTAATCGAGTTGACTCATGAACCTAATGAGTCGAACTATGTATAGTTCAAATTCAGCTCATTTAGTTAACGAACTTAATTTTTCGCTCATATTCAACTCATTTGATTCATGAACCAAGTTCAACGATTTAATTGTCAAGTCGAATTTCAAACTATTTTCGAGTTGGTTTGGTTCATTGTCAGCCCTACTCAGGAGGGACTTTGATCTCATCCATCTACCTCCCCTTCTCCTCTTAAAATTTGAACCAAACACATAAATTATTAAATATTTTATCCCCTCTATTTACTCCAAACCAAACAGACCCTACAGAATCAAGCACATTTCTTTTTAAAATCATAAACAAAATTATAAACATAAATAAATAAATAAATATGTTTGGTTTAACTTTACACAGATAAAAAAACAATTCTATAAATGTATAATTAATTTTGAAATGATTTTAAAGTGTTTAATTCTTGTCAAATAGAATTCCATAATTAATTTATTTAAAACTAAATTTTTGAATTTTAAAATTTTAATGTTACATTTATATTAAAACTTATATCCAGACGGACACTCGTGTGCCCATATGTCCGCTTTTTTAATGCAAAAGTATAAATAATATTTTTTTATTTAATGTTGATTTTAAATGAAAGTTATGTGAGAAATTATTAATAAATTATGTGAAAGATAATAATAGTGATTTAATAAAAGTTATTGTGTAAGTTACACATTTTAAAATAACAATAAAATTGATAGAAAATTAAACTACACTAAAAATCAAATGTTACCTTTATATATGTTATAGATTATTGATATATATTATAGATTATAGATTTACTTTTAACTCACTTATATATAAATCTATCGAAACATAAATCATTTTGCTTTCAACTCGCTTTTAACTAGAATCAATTTTACATAATTCTTTCATTCAAAATCAATTATTTTACTGCATATTCAAACTAAATGTAATTGAGTTGTTCTGTGATCAAATAGCATAATATTCTTTTATATTAAAATTTTAAATTTATAGGTTGGGAAACAATAATGCAGAGAATTGCATGTTATTTTTTTTTAACACTTTCAACGACAATTTAAACTTGCCAGCAAATTCTAAAAAAATGAAGAATGCATAGCTACTAAACACAATTGTCCAAATGTGCAATAATTATCTTTCTACAAATTACACGGTTCTCTCCAAAAAAAATATTGCCCTAGTATTCTAATAGTTGGCCTTTGTCATCGATAGCAGAACTACTTGCTACAGAGATATTCAAAGGTGTATAACTTACTTCCTAGATAATCTAATGACAAGAATAGTGCGGGCAAAGGAGGGAAACTGCAGAATAAATTTGAAAAATTACCTGTGGGACTTCAAGATATACTGTACAGAGCTTCCCTTATAATTAGAGTACAATAATAGACACAAAGTAGAGAGAAAGATTAGACCAATACAAGATCCCCTTCTGCTTCTTCTTGCTCCTGTTGTTCTGGCAGTCTTCCTTCCCTATATGGGAGTAGTAATCGCCTGATTTCTTCGGAATTAAGTGTCTCGCACTCTAATAATGCATTTGCCAGCACATGTAATGCCTTCTCATGCTAACAAAATGAAGAAAAAAACTACTAGTTATGATTATTTACATGTCGACCAGTATAGATATCAAATATCGGTGCATAATACAAGATTGCCAACTTTTTTTCAGTGAATTTGTGCCATCTCAAAAAGTTGCTTTTGATTCTAATTTTCTTATTTTGATAATCCTCCCCTAATACCACACTTTCACCACAAAAACATGTTAGTGGCTACTAGTTACTTGACTCACTGAACTAAAGAATTTAGTCAAACTTACTAGTGGGTTGAATAACTTACATGTTAGCATTTCGCATATACATATTCTTTGTGGGTACAAGACTTCTAAACAACTAATCAATTACTCCCTCCGTTTCTTTTTAAATGTCACTTTTTGAATAATTTTTTGTTTCTTTTTAATTGTCACTTGTAAAGTTCAAGATAATATTAAATGCATTTTTGTCAAAATTGCCCCTAGATAGTTATTTCAGAGAGAGAAAAAGTAAAATAAATGTAAGAAATAACTAGGGGTATTATAGGTAAAAGAAAAATGATTGTAAGAAAAGTAACAATATTGATTAGCCTTTTTTTGGTATGTGTAAAAAATTAAAAAGTGTCATTTAAAAAAGAACTGAGGGAGTACATTTTCTTTGTGTGCATTCGAAAGTACCCTTGCATTACCTAAGACCCCTCAATCTTTTTACACAAAAAAAAAAACAATATGTACAATAATATTCAACAAACCTTCTTCAGAAGAGCTTTCACGCGATCATATGCATCTCTAAGGAGTTTAACAACCTGTAAAACAGGAAAAGATCAGCTACAACCACGAATTTAATTATCGATATTATTAGAAGAGCAAACCAATTAATCCAAACATGATTTCAATTGTCAGAAATGTTAAAAGAAATTATAGATTTATAATACTTGCCTCTGCATCAATACGTGACTGCATTTCAGAACTTGGTCTCTCCTTTATATGAATTGGTCCGATTGTATCACTCATCCCACAACTTGAAACCTTGTGAAGATAGTTTAAAATACAACATACACAAGCAATGAATGTCAAGCTCATTTTGAAATGAAACTATTATTAAAAAAATTCAGCAGAAACTAAGATTTGTCTGGAATTTCAGTTACTACAAGTCGATATTCCAAGTAACAATTGAACGACGACAAAACGAATACAGAAAAAAAATTGAATCAATTTTGTAGAGAACTAACAGATGCCACAACTTTACTTGCCACATGACAGGGGAGCAGAATATTACCATGTATTGGGCAAGCTCAGTAGCAGATTGAAGATCGCTACTTGCTCCAGTTGTGACATTATCACGGCCGAAGATAAGCTCTTCTGCAACTCTTCCTCCCATACAAACATCAAGGCGAGCTAACAACTGCTTCTTACTTATTGACGTTTCATCACTTGAGGGAAGCTGAGTAACCATTCCTAAAGCAGATCCACGGGGCATTATTGTTGCCTTATGAATTGGATGTGCACCGTCGGTGTTAAGGGCAACAATCGCATGGCCACTCTCGTGATAAGCAGTAAGCTGAAATTTTTACAAGGTTATTATTTGACAGATAAATACTTACTATTGATAAAATTCAATTATACCAGCAAAATTCAATTATGCCAAAAAATTGATAAAATATTTGTTTTGGAGCAACCAGCAGGTCAGATATTACTCTGGGATAATGACTCGAGGTACAGGGAATTTTTTACAAAAAAGTAAAACAAATTTACCTACCATGTCAACTGAGCTCACCAGCTAACAACTGATTTAGCAACTAACTAATCATTAGATAGGCATCCAATTTTCTATTTTCATAAATATAAAAGATTGGTATTTTCTACAAGTATATGGAATGGTCAAGTTGCCAAAATTTTCCTTCCAAGTATTATTAGTATTTTTTATGTTAAGCCCACGTCAATCATAAGACACTGTTTACAATTATGATCAAAACTTGATGTTTAGAATTTTAGTACACTTGTAATCCTATTGTAACCTCACAGCATGGGTTTACAACTATAGGGAAAAGTCTGGAATGTTTTAAGATAATGTAGCAAAGAAGTCCCATATTCAAAAAAAGTTAAAAGATGACAAGATTTGAAAATATGGTGGAAGCCAATGGTTTACATCAATCGATTAGGCCACAGTTAAGTATCAAACTGAATTTCCTGACATATACTGATTTCCTACACATACCTTTTTTGACTCGTCAGATATGAACATTGTTTTTCGCTCTGTACCCATAATTATTCTGTCTTTTGCAAACTCCAACTGAGAAGCTGTTAATTTCTCTGCACCTTCAACCGCAGCTTTAATGGCAGCAATGTTCACCAGATTTGCAAGATCTAGTTTATGCGAATATATAATTATAGAGAACATCATTCGGGGATTTGAAGAAGTATATATTCGCATTGATAGAAATTATGTCATGTCAAATGCATTTACATGAGTAACTCACCTGCCCCATTGAATCCTGGGGTACCACGAGCTATGGCTTTAATATCAACATTCTCAGCTGTAGGTTTATCTTGCAGGTAGAGTTCCAATATTTCTTGCCGACCACGTACATCTGGATTCGGTACAACAATCTGGAATTCAGAATTTGTTAGTCATCTTATCTGCTGTATTATATACAGATTAATCGGGTACAACAACCTGGATTGAAAGAGAAACTGGAAATTACTTGTAACCTGTGTTTTGATTTATTTTCCTATGTCTCTTGTTTAGTTTGTTAACTCTTGCGATATGACTTATTTTAACATTTATACTGCTCTTCTTTCTTTTCATAAATCATTTATAGGTGAAACAATGAATATAAAAACTTACATGTCGATCAAATCTACCAGGCCTCGTTAAAGCTGGATCAAGAATATCAGGTAGGTTTGTTGCAGCCATCAATATTATTCCCTACAACATAAAAATTGATAAATAAGTTTGGAAAAGAAGACAAACAAATTGCAACCTAAGCTGGTCAAAGATACCTCATTCTGCTCAAACCCATCCATTTCAACGAGTAGTTGGTGCAATGTCTTCTTGGTGTGGCCCTCCCACTGTTTCCTTGTTGATCCAACGGCGTCAATTTCATCAATGAAGATAATGCAAGGAGCCTACAAAAGATACAAGAGAAAAAACACTCCACAATTAGAAACATGTAAAAGTCATGTGTAAAGAGTAAACCATATAGGAGACTATTATGAGAGATCAACAAAAAGCAATCGACCTTCTTTTTGGCTGCTTGAAATAAGGACCTTACACGTCGAGCACCAACTCCAACAAACCTGAGCATGAAAAGAAATATGAATTCAATCCGCTGACTTAAAAGTTACAATTTCCAGAAGACACGGATTGAAGTTCTAAATTTTGTTAAGAGATCACATGAAAACATTTTAGCATTTAATATACCAACTTAGAGTGTCACGCATCTAAGAGAAATAAGAAATTCTGGAATGTTTATAGCTCATCACAATGTTACATACATTGTAATGTTCAAGTTGTCTGGGTTTATTCCCTTGGGGCACACAGACCAGCGACAATGAATGAGGATTTCAAAAAAGCAAAAAAACCCTTAAAATAGACAGTTTTAAGGGATACTTTGTATTTTGCACACTAAAAAACCCTAAAACTCCATTTCCTTCTCTATTCTGCTAAAACTTCCATTCTCACAAGCAGCCACTGTCAACCCAGACACCGGCAACCCTGCCCTCCTGTTTTGTGTGAATAGAACAGAGAAAGTCACGTTAACGGTGCATTTTATTTTTATTTTTTCCCCTTTGCATCATGCTAATAGAACAGAGTAGGCTTCATTTAGTGTTTTTCCTCTCTGTTCAGCCATGGCAACTTCATCTCAGTCTTGATCATGATCATCTTTGATTCCTATTTACTATAACTTCTATAAGAGTTTTAATATTTAGTTACTTCAAGTTATAAGTAAGACTTAAACTTGTTTGTTTCGTTAACTTTTGTTGGAATTATGAATATTTTGTGAATATGTAGTTATTAGGTTAATTTTACAGTAACTATCTGTTTAAAATGTTAATCATGTAATTTGCCCAAAAATATTCAAATAGGTATCCTTATCCAGGATTGACAACATAGTCATTAACAACAACTGCCTTTTTATGCACCACTTTTGGAATAACAAAATGTAACCCCAATTCTAGCATAATAACATTTGCCAACTTCTCAACATAGTCTAGCAAAAGAAGACTTACATCTCCTCAAATTCTGACCCTGCACGATAGAAAAATGGAACACCGGCTTCTCCAGCAATAGCCTTCAAGGTCATAATAATAATATTGAATTTCAATGGATTAATTTATAATGAACATTCCAATAAAGCACGACTTTACTCGGTTGAATTATGCATAGTGGAAAAAATATCAATGTCACAGATGAGAACCAGAGTCCAGATTTAAGTCCTTCCAAGAACTTCCCAAAAATGTCAGAATTTAACTGACCTTGGCTAGCAGAGTTTTTCCAGTTCCAGGTGCCCCTGTCAGAAGAATCCCCTGAAAAGAGAACCATCTTAGCCAGACTTCATAAACAAAATGTTATAATAGCTAAATTGCACTAATTAACAAGCATGATTTTTTTATATGCATATAAAAAAGCATGACATTTTATTTCAAGGCGAGTTCATCTGCATAGCATGGAATAAAAAACAAAAAAAAATACATAACATCATGATGACCAAAACTTAACATGGTTGTTAGTGCGCACAACACAGTGTGGATATAGAGATGGACAAAATATGTATCAGTTCCTAAACAGTGGTGAGAATAACGACCTAATTAATAACAATTGAGTACCAATACATGTAAAGTAGAAAGATATATGAACAGAATCAATAAGTTAAATGAAAACAAAAAGACCAATAACTTCTGTAGACCTTTGGCAACTTTCCTCCAAGGCGTGTAAATTTAGCTGGATTTTTTAGGTACTCCACAACTTCCTCAAGTTCTTGCTTTGCATCATCACAACCTTTCACATCCTTAAAAGTTTTTACATTCTGCAAGGTGAGACAGAGAGATAAAGATTAAAATTATGACTACATAATGCATGGCAGAACTTCTGATATGCAAGGCCTTCCATGTCACAAATAAGGAAAATTAATTCTCACTGGACAGTATTAGATATATTCAAGGACAAATGGGGGTGGTCATATTTTCCAACTTTATTGATGAGTGGTTGATGAAATAGTTAGTAATGGCATGATTAGCAGATACTATCTTATTCGGATAATAAAATAATTGTTTGAGTATTACATCTATCATGATACGCTATTGTTCACTAACCTATTGCATTTACAATCTTCTCATCCAAGATCTCACTGACAACCCAAATTTCTTGTTAACACACACCCTAAACTAATCATGTCTTTTCCAAAAGAATGAATAATCTATATGCCCCATTCTAATATTGTTAAATAAAATATAAGTTTATCAGTAAAAACAGATTAATGACCTTTTCTGGCATTACTTCCTTGTTTAACTCCTTTGGGGTAAAGGAAGAACTTGAACCAACACCTGAAGAACCAATCCCACCCAAGCTTCCAATGTATTTTTGAAGGGCAGCAGCGCCCATAAACCTGACCAACATACATTAGGAATACAGGTATGCAAAGGTCAAATAGTGGATGTTATACAACAGAATGACAAAGAGAGAAAGACAGGGAAACCAGAAGCTCGTACCAGAACAATCCAACAGCTACAGCAAGAAAAATATTTGAGATAAGCTCTTTTGCAAAGCGTGATTTGTTTGATACTTTCTGATCAACCTAAACAATGAGGCAGCTTCATGAGATTCTGAGAAAAATCAAATAATAGAATCTAGGATGCAAATGGAAATTTGAAGAATTTATTTCTATAGTACATAAGTATATGTTAAGCACTCAATGCATAAAGAAGGTCTTCTGATTAAAAAAGTACCATAACCACATGCAACGGCTGCTTCTCAGATATTCCAGGGTTAAGAAAAGTCTCATCCGTGTTACCCGATGCCCGTTGTTTCAACTCTTGCAGCTGAAAATATGTTTTTCATAAGTTTCCACAGAATAATACAAGTAAATTATGAACTAATTATCAAATGATGTTATTATAATAAAAAAAAAGTTCATGTTAACGAGAGGCAAAATTGGAAGAATCAATGGAATGGACAAGAACTATCTTTTAAGTGCATCATAAATTATATCATGTATTCTAAGATAAGTACACAAATCAAATATTTCAGATCCAGAAGCAAATGACGGAGAAATACTACCTAATAATTTTGTATAAATATGAAAATAATGATTATCCAAACTTTTTAATAGAAAGAAAACCAGTAAATCCTTTTTCTTATTAGGTTTGTCAATGACATTAATCAAGCAATGTTATTATGTTCTGTACTCCTTTCAAGAAAGAATCAATGTCATAATATTCTGTTTCTGTACTTCTGTCAAGATAGAACCAATCCTCAAAAAGTCCATTTAGATCAAGTCCACTTCAATATTTTTTCATTCTATAGACTTTATCGGTCACCCTCTATCTCTAACTATAAGGTAACCTGCATTCTATTCACTATAACTGCTTCATCTTCTATTCATCATCTTTCTACATTGCTAATCCTATTGGATTCTATTCATCATCTTTCATCATCTTTTGGGTGAGATTCAATCATCTTTTCAACAGATGTTGTGCCACCCACAACTTTCTCTCATACATTCACTTCTAATCCTATTCATCATTTAACTAACATTAAGCTTATGCTCTTGCTGGATTTTAGGAACCAAGACTCGGCACCACACAGCATTACACTTTCTGTGGTTGCATGATAATAGAATTCTTTGAGCTTGAGAAACATTTTCTATCACAATTATCACTTGACAGCTTGAAGCATTTTTCCTCTCATTCTCCCAACTTAAATCATCCATAATGTCCCCCTAACTCCTCCATCATATTGGATGATAGTGTCATGAACAACTATCACAAAAGCATAAGCTTAAGGTAAAAACTAGAGCTAGGTCAATGACCTATTACACTAGACAGACATTTGTTAAGGAATTTGATCAAAGCAGTCTCACAATACCTACACAGAAAATCATCTTAATGACTTCGTGGAAAATAAAACAAAACAAATTCACTTTTGAACAGAGACTAGTATCAACAAATAGATACAAAACAAATAGCCTAATTGCACTCTACCTCGACTAATGAACAATGAAGCACGGTAATAATTCAATAATAAAGACTGAAGATTGATTCAAAAAAACAAAAGAACAACAAGAACATGAAAATTTTAGTTTCAAAGTGATTACCAAGGTAATAATTCAATAATAAAGACTGAAAATTGATTCAAAAAAACAAAAGAACAAGAACATGAAAAATTTAGCTTCAAAGTGATTACCAAGGTAGGAAGGCCAGAGGGTTTTCCAGATTCCTTATCAGGAAGATATTCTGCAATAGCATTAGTGATCACTAGTGCTCGAAGATATTCTGCAACTCCTCTGCTGTCCACAGCTCGATCCCTTTCTTCAAATCTCTCTATCACAGACTCGGGACTAATATAAATAAAGGAAATGAGTATAATAGTGGGCTTATGATTGATCCAGCTCAAGAATTAGATTTAGAAACCCGCAGTAAACAATTGTTAAGTTGACTTTAATAAATTTATGTTTTGAATTTTATTATGCTTTTTCTAAGATGGTGTGGACAATGTTACTAATAGCGGAGAGCATAGCAGGTAAATAAGGGAAGCCGCATTGGTTAAAATATAAATAAATGTATATAAAATAAAGCATGTTGCACAAAAACTAAAAGCTGCATGAACATAAATTAAAAAAAGTAACTGAGATAATACACAAATTCCAATACATAATAGAGTAATACCAGTTTCTTTAACAACATTGAAACGATTTGAAGAATTTTTTTAAACCCTACAATACATTTTTTGAGTTCTCCTATATTAAGGGTTTGTGTGTTATGAAGAAAAATAAACTCTCTTTTCAAGTTGGGGACTATCATTCCTTTATTTTTCCTTTCTTCCTTATTTTACCGAAAACCCTCCCTTCCCCTCCTAAGCTTCCAAACATTACCAGAGTAAATTGTGTCTTTGGAAAGGAATCATTCAATGAAGATAACTGTTCTATTTTTTAGCAAGTTTCTCTTCCACTTCTCTTTCTTAGGCCTATAACCCTAATTTTTATAGTAGCAGTAAAAATCTTCCTAAAAACATATATAACAACTCTATAAAAATTGAAAAACAAAAAACCTAGGTGAATTTTCCCTAATTTCAATTTTCCCGAGCAAATTGTTGCATGTACTACAATTTTCAACAACACTCAAATCCAATTTTCCAAACAAACTGCAAAATGTAAAATCTTCTTCTATCTTACTCCTACACTACAATGGCAAAACTTGAAATTACAAATTCATAAAACCTGTGCTTATTGAGTTCAACAAACATAGCACTCTGCTTATCAGCATCCTGCCGATTCAAATCAGCTTCAGAAATCAACTTCGCCAACCGCTTCTCCTGCCGCCAAAACGGCCACCAATCAAAGAATTCCGAAAACGCCCTCTCAGCACGTTCTCTTGCTCTCACCCAAAGTCCAATCAAGAACACCACTATCGGCAATTTCGAATCCATCTTTTCACTTTCCGAAGCCTCGAGCCTCTCGCCATCAACATTCTCGAATCGTGATTCGTTTGAATTTGAATCCAAAACCGCAACGGTGTCGTTTTCCGTCGAGTTTATAAGCTCTACATCAGCGGAACCGGGTTTTGATTCGGGTAGGGTTTGGTTAGGGTCGGAGTGGGGAGTTGTTGCGTCAGGTTGAAATGTGCAGAAAAGTGGAGGGGATAGAACGCGCGGGCGGAGGCGCGTGGGGTAAAAGGAGAAGTGGCGGTGGTGAGGTTTATGAGTGGAGTGGTTGGGAAAGAGGAATGGGAAGGGGGGTTTGAAGAGAAGAGAAGTTTGAAGTGTTGCCATGGTTTTCCTTCCCTCTTTGTGGAAGGAAGTAATATGAGGAAGAACAAGAAGCACGTAATGTGAGGTACCTTATCCAACAATGAAATTGGCGCCGGCTTGAGATTTTTGTGTACGTGTGTGAATTTTTTTTAGTTTTTATAACAACACAATCACAAGTTTCACTAGGGTATTATCATTATAGGTTGATAATTAAGCATTCCTAATTATCCTTATTATTATTATAAACACTTTTTGTTAATTAAATTTTATAGGTTGATATTTTGTGTATGCTAATAAGTTTAACTATGATTTATATATGGCGTGAAATTAGATTTTATATGTTAAATTTAAATGAGTCGATAGAAGTTTTGTTAACTCAACTTAATTGATAGTCGTGTAGGAACATTAGACGTAGGAGTGCGGGTTTGAATCTATGACATAATATTTGTTCACTTTTAAATAGTGAATTTTAGACACTAAATTATTTGACAAAAAAAATTAGTTGATAACAACCATGTTTGTTGTTGGAATTAAACTCCAATCTTTGAGATAATCTGAATCAATTTTAATGAACAAGAAATAATTTTTCTGATTGATCTTCTCTCGTTCTTTACTCGTCACTTGAGTGATACAACCACACATTAGTTGCAAGAAGATTTCGTCGCACAAAAATTTAAAAATAGGAGATAATTCGACAAAGAAAGAGATAAAATGAAAATTATGTTTTGGAAGAAGAGAATATGATTTTATTCAATTATAACTAAATTGTACACTTGTTACTACTTTGTAAATAAGGGTGTCTCCTTATTTATAAGTGAGATTACTTACACACTAAATAATCTAACTAACTCAAATGTTACTCAAAATAAATACTAAGTTTAACTCTGTCAAATTTACCTCTTTTAACAACTACATACTATCTTCGACTATGTCGAATGCTTAGCACAAATAATTAAATATTTAACATTTGTCAATTAAATTTTAAATATTTGATAAATTTTAACTAATTTATTAATTTAAATGTAATTAAAAAACTTCAAAAGAAGATAATGAAGGTAAAAATAAGAAATAGAAAATAGATACACGTTAAATTGGTTTTTATGATAAAACCTCGCGAACATTGATGGATTCAAACTATTCAATTTAAATATATGTGTAATCATAATGGGATTCTAAATGTTTTTATTTGTAAGGTTGTATCTATCTTGTGAATAGGTCTATGTGGTATTTGAGATGATATGATTCACAATATGAGTGAGGACTGAGAGAGATATAATGTTATTTGTTATTTGTCATGAGTTATTTGTTAGCAAGAAAGGGGTGAATTGTGTGAATAATTATTCATGTGTGTTTCTTTAGAATTAGTGGATAAAATTATAGTTATGTTCACTTTACTAGTGCTAATGTACAAATGTAATTGTTTGACATGATGCTGGGACGAAATCTTTTTATCTAAATCAGCCTACCATCATATTTAGGGTTTGGATTAGAAAATTGAACAAGAGAATTTTAAGTGGATTTTTCAATATATTTTTTGTATACTTTAGAATATATATCTTGAGTGTTTAATGACTAATTTTTATACGATGCAAAGAGGCACGACTATTGATCTTGCTTGTTTGATTTTTTTCCAATCGTGTTTCCATTTACATATTTTTTGGAATTCTAAATTTGTTAATGAGGTGTGTTGTGACTTGGAATTCTGAATTTGTTAAGTGTTAGGATTTTTTAAATCTATTTATAGTTTTGTTTAGGTATAATTAGTCACCAGGTCCCTTAAGTTAATTTTGTGTTTCGCTTTCATCCCTTAATATAAAAAAAAACGATATAATATACCCCCTTAATATTAGTTCATTATCATTATTGGTCCTTTTAGTTAGTTTAACTGAGAAAACATAATATTTGCCAAGGTGGCGTGCCAACTAAGTAATGACTCAGCAAAAGAATAAAAATTCATAATTTTAGAGTTTCACTTGTATCAAAAAATCTTATTCTTTCTTTCTTTATATTTAAACGTGAAAGGGTTTTTTGAGTGTATGTGATTCAAATTGATTGTAGTCACATTTCATTTTATTCTTTCTTCTTCAAACATTCATATTATTTGTTCTTGTTTGCAATTGCATATGAGTTAAAATCAAGGTTGTGTTGAACTTTCATTTCATCTCTCTAAATCTTAAAGCTCTGTCTCTAGGGATTTAATTTTTTCCAATGTCAAAGTTGTCAAGTAGTGCTTTCATTGGAACAAGTGGATCAGTTATTAATAGAAACAAGAGGAGGGAATGTTATTGGCAAGATGAGTGTATCATTCATACTGTGGGTGACATGAACAACGTAAATTTTAAGGTTGTAGAAATTACATAAATTATTTGAATAAGGGTTGTAATTTCTTCAAATGGTTAGATGACAAAATTGTTGGTGAGAGAGATTTTAAGATTCAAAGGCAAAAGAAGAAAATTTTCAAATTGAAGAATCAGATCATCCACACTAGAGGATGGTTGAAAGTGTCCATTGTTGTTGGAATATTAAGCTTAGTGTTGAATATTGTATTTGTAACAATGTATTTTTAGGTTGGCATTTTATCTGTCTATGAGTTTATGTGTCTTTCATATTTGAAATGTATCTGTCATGATTTGATCCAGAACCTTGGTGGAATCTTCCAAAGGTACTTAAATACCTCTTCATTAACACTTTTTATTTCACACATTATTTTTTCCCAAGCATTTAGATGAGTAGCAGTAGTAGCCTTCCACATCAGTTCCTTTAGTTTAACACCTGGAAACTTCTTTCTGAATTGTTGTATAAGTACCTAACACAAATATCAAGTATCCAAATATCATATAACAATTATCAAATATATCCAAATATCAAGTACCTAACATAAAATCTTTGGTCAACCTCAGGTAGTAAATCATCAAATGCAAGCAATAAACCCTGCATTACGATCATGAATATGTAAGTCTAAAACTACTTAATATGTAAGGAATAATTAAAATAGACCAGCCATACACACATTTTGTTCATCAGTTATAAATGTATAAGTATTGCATAATTTTACACCTCCCAAATCAGATGTCAATAGCTCTAAAAACCAACTCCATGAATCTTTGGTTTCTCCCTCAACTACAACAAATGATATTGGCAGCATTTGGTAATTTGGATCCCTCCCAATGGCTGCAAGTATTTGTCCACCATAGTAGCCCTTTTAAAAGCATTCATCCAATCCTATTATAGGTCTGCACTTGAAAAAACTATCTTTGAAAGCTTTGAAGCATATATAAATCCTTTGAAAATGTGGATTCAAAGACCTCTCAAGATTCTCACTAGTTTTCTTTCCACCTTGAATTGATTGACTTATGAATTTAACAGTTTATCCAGGGCTTGCCCTTAACAACTCGTGACCATAATTATGGATTCTTATATATTGCTTTCTAAATGAACCATCAACAATGCCAATAGAAAGTGATTATGCTATATATGCAAGTGTTTTGTTAATCCCTACATTCCACTTTAGTTTTGCTTTCTCCATTATATCAGTTAACTTTAAATTAGGATTCTATCTTACATTAGCTTGAATCTTTTTGCCAAACCATTTGGAATTAAGGAATATAACGTTATAATCCCTACTACATGCGTGTGTTTGTCCATAATTTTTCTCAACTGCCAAGTGTTTTCATCTTGTAATTTTGCACAATATGACTCTCATGGACAACCTTTCTTACATATGACTCTCATCCTCTTGTTATCATTTTTCTTAAATTTCAGATTTCTACTTGAATGAATAACATATGTTCTAATTGCCTCTTTAAAGTCTTCATTGGTAGCAAAATAATTTCTTAACTCCTACTTGTAATCATCCATTCTTTTTGGAAACTTGAATGTTTGAAAATTATCTTTTAAAACCTCTTCATATTCGCTATCATACTCTTGGGGTAACTCATCATTATCATATTCTTAAAACTCACTCAAATCTCTAAAGCTTTCCTTTGAAACCTCACCTTCATTCACATCATCAATTGAACCACCACCTTCAACTACTTCTTCCACCTTCCTTTGATTCATTGGTCTCTCAACCTTGGCTTTCCCTTTTCCTTTACCTCTTCCTTTGCCCTTCCTCTTTCCTTTACCTTTGCCCTTCCCATTTCCTTTAACTTTTCCTTTGCCCTTCCCCTTTCCTATACCATCCTCTTTATCAATTGCAATTTTTCTCCAATTTTTATAGCAACTTCATCAGAATCCTTAAAGTTGACATTCAAAGCACTGTCATTTTCACTACCACCACCATCTTTTGGCTTACACTTCAATCCCTCATCTTCATCTGGGTTGAAAATTAGTCCATTAACTACTGAATCTTTTCGAACACATACCAGATAAGGTGTGCCATCCAATATATCAGCTTCTTAATCACATACCATATAATTAGTGGTCCCCTCCAAAGTAATATCCATTATTACCTCCTCAGGCACGGTGGCCCCTCCAAATTAACATCCTAACATGAATCTTTTTTGTCAATTCCCTTAATGTTCCCATCCAATTTCACATCCTTAAATGAAGATTCTTGGTCAACCGCAGTTGTATCTTTTACACTAGTAGTCCCTCCTTCATTAAACTTGTCACCTAAACTATCCAAATCTTCAAAAGCCCCAAAATCATCAAAAGTTACTTTTACATCATTATTCAAATCATCCAATATGTCATCTTTTGAACTATTCAGAGTACCCAAATATTCACAATTACCTTTACCTCATTATTCAAATCTTCTAAATTGTCTTCTTCCACAACATTGGGTCATACATCGTTTTCTAGAGACAATATTGGCTCTTCCCCATAACTGGATGCATGACATATAAATGCACATTGCCATTGATCAATGCTATCATTTTCATTATATTTGTTATTGCATCATCTTTCAACAAAACTAGCTAATTATTATACATTGAATCATAATACCACAAACTCTCCACTTCTGGATACCACAAATCCGTTAACCTACCCACAACCTCAAAATAACTCCATAAATTCGG